TGGGACCGGTCTCAGGCCCATGAGTGACTGGTCTCATTTGGGACCAGTCCCAAACGGGCCCAGGCCTAGGCCCGCAAGGGACCAGTCCCTTGTCCACCTCTATCATTAGCCTATCTGCGATCAGCCCTCCTATTCTCCCCCCGACCAGGCGCACTGCCCAAAGGACCGGGGTCATGATGATTGAGCGCTGCCACAGAGTTTTCGATGCGAAGGTATTTTTTGGTGAGGCTGTAGAAGCGAGTGAGGGAAACATCATCCTTAGATTGCAGCTCTTTCCACAGATCTGTCTGTGGACGAACTCCCGTGATGATAAGAGTCCGAATGAACTCTTTGGGAGTGTGAGCTACCTTATGGAACTCTCTGTGGAACCTGTCAATATAAGATTGGAGGGGCTCATCCCTCTCTTGCCTTATGTTGCTAAGATAGCTTAGAGGCATCAAGAACTTCCTGTTCGCTTGGAAGTGTCTCAGAAATGTCGAGCTCATCTGAGGCCACAAGCTGACTGATCCTGATGGGAGTGACCTAAACCATCGTTTGGCATGAGAAGTAAGAGTTACTGCCAAGCAACGACATTTTGCCAACTTAGAGACTTGGTGGAGTTCCATGAGGTCGTTGAACTCATACAGATGATCCTGCATATCAGAATTCCCATCGAATGCTTGCATGTCGGGCATTCTAAATCTTAACGGGAGAGAGGCGGCTAACACTGCCAGAGAAAAGGGAGACGCCTCTGCGACCAACCCTTACTCATTTTGTTGAGCCTTTAACTGATCCAAGGCTCGCTGTAGTTCCTCAATCTGAGGTAGCAGAGCCATTTGGGGATTGCTTTCCGCAACGTGGGTTCGACGCTCACGGTTACGGTTGAGGAAAGACCGTATGTTGGATTCCTCCTCGCCTTGGCCGAAAGTCCCGGCCAATCTTGACACACGCTGGCTAGAGTCGTGTGATGGCGCTGAATGGTCTAGGGAACCTTCCTGACCTCCGGGTGGTGCGAACCGACCCGCAGATGGTGGGAACTTCCCGTGCGATGACGATCGAAGTCGTCATTTTGGCAATAATTGGAATCTTCCTGCCTTGCACTTTTGCGGAAGTGCTCGTGCAAAGTGGCACGGGACGGCTCGAGCCGCGACATGTCACCAAGCCTTTGCACCATGGGTATTCTACACGGGGCATAGTCGGTGTTCGCTGGCCCCTTAGAGCCTCTAGACCTGCTGTGCACCACTTGTTTTCCCTTTCTTTGACGCGCTGCAGTGCGTGCGGTATGAGCTTTTGCGACCTGCATATGTTTTTGGCAGTGGCACCGCCTCATTCAATTCGGGTGGCACGACCCGATCCAACCGATCCAGTCTTTAGCTAACCGTTTAGAGAGTATTGTTGAACCTCTCCAGGTAGCTCATGACAACTGGATCAAGTCGTGAGCTTGAAGGGATATCCCTCACAATGTTTTGTGGGACTGAGGGCACTTTGAGAGAACTGTGCTCTTGTACTTGGGGGATTTCTTATCACTATGATTGGTTCGCTAAGATTCAAATCGGTGAGCCATTTGTGTAGTGGGATCGATTAGTCAGAGATTCGCCTGATGAAGAACAAGTACTAAATTAGGCCCTCATTCTAGCGCCAAACTGTTGATGTTTGATTTTGACACCAACTAATCGCACGTGGGAAATGCTAAACGGACTTAGAGATCTCACGTGTATATGGGGGTATTGGATTGAGTAAGAGACGAAGAACAATGTTTAAAGTGGTTCGGATACTTAAGTAAGCGAATCTTACGTCCACTGATATTATATTAATATATAAGATCAGGAAGCGTTCAGCGAGCTGATTTATAGCTTGGAGAATACAAGTGGATATAAGAGAGAGAGAGAGAGAGAGAGAGAGTATGCTATTTCAGAGAAAAATTAGCTAATCCCACAAACGGGAGAGGAGCCCTCTATTTATAGTGGGATGAATTGAGTTAATGATTACTGAATCTATGAGTGGGTCTGATTGCCGTGCAAATCCTTCTTTGTGTCCTATTGTTTAATTGCTCCAGTGATTTCCTCGACTTCCGCAAGGATTGGACACATGGATCGTTCCCAACCTTTTGCCAATCTGGCGCATACCCACTGCACTGGTAGGAGCATGCTGCTTACGTTAGCATGCAACGTGGCTTCATCTGAATGGTTATAAAACCTACCTAAGGTCTGACCGCCCATACTGACAAGGTTTGACATCAACCCTACTTTTTCAGGTATAACACCAACAAAATCATCCTTTAACTTGAATGTCGTTAATGTACACTAACCGGCAAAAGGGTATACTAGAGATTTCATTGGTATCTAAAACTTTTTAAGATGTAAACCGTCGTTAGGACTTGAGGTTGAGTTTTTTTTACTTTTATATAAAGTAAATTTTCACTCTTACGTAATTGGTTATAATTAAAATAAAATCTTTATTTTTTTTCATCGAAACTTCTTCTTCACGGTCTCTTTCCTGCAAAACCATCCCCAGTTCCCCACTACCGTCACAGACTTCACAAACACACACCATTGAACAAAAACATATTCAAAACACTAAAAAAAAAAACAGAAAAAAAAAAAATCTTTTGTTTGGTAAAAATTATCTTCCTATCATAAGTACTAAATATGATTTAGTATATTTGATATATATTATCTTTTGTTTTTTTCCGATATTTCTCTACTCCTAATTGTTTACTTGATTTCTGCCTCTCTATCAGTCTATCCTAACTCTATTTTCATTTTCCTTTATATCTTTTTATTTCTTCAATAACCTTGTCAGCTCTTAGTTTAAAAGTCTAAGGTTAATTAATTATTATTAACTAACCAATGTTTTCTTATTAATTCACCAAACCTTCTAGGGTTTTCTATGCTAACACCTACTTAAGACGATTTGATTGATGTGATGTCTCTATTAATTTTTTTTTTTTATTTATTTCTTTTTCATATTGCAAATCGGCAAGCCTATTATAAAGGTATGAGACATGCTTCCAGATATGGTTGGTCAATTATTTCATACTGTCTCCAATTATAATACTCTCATTCGATTGTAATCTAAATAAATTTTTACGATGAATGGTCATTCAATGTTGTGTTAAACTACATCGCGCGCTTTGTATGTTTACAGGAGACGAATAGGTTGTCTCATATATATTTGCTTTTATTAATAGTCTCCAATAAGAGTTGGATAATTAGCATATTGAAAACTTTATAATGTTAATTAATTAATAGTAGATTTATTAGATTTGGACAACTAACAAAGGATGGTGAACACCGTTACTTCCAATAGTTTAGTGTAAGAATTACGCATGGCATACAGATATCGATGACAATGATATATTGTTTGACAGATCGTTGCTTTCAATCGGTTCTTTAAAATAATTATTTTAAATTTTTTTCAAATGAATTTGCCAATTAGAAACAAATAAAAAGGGGCATCTATGAAACCTCCTACGGAAACTTCAATGGAGATAATACCTGGGCTGGAAACAACAATTGAAACTAAGGGATTTAGACGTGGAACCTCTGTAATATATAATACTTTAAATCGAGAACAGATCAAACGTGAATGTCAATAACCTTGAAACCTTATTAACATGAAATTTCAAACCTTACACGTCGATAATATAGTTCTTCTGTTCTACCAAAAACACGTCATGTAATTTACATCGGGCAGGAAGGTTGAACTTTTTTCTCGCCCTATATTTTGTGAAACAACATTTTTCACCCCGATTTCAAAAACTTTATATCTTACCCCTACTTTACTTTAAAGTTAAGGGAGAACGACTTACACATACCCATGGTTTGTTGTAACGACAAATTGGTACCTAAAAGGTTTTGAAACGACAAATAGATACCTTCCGTCATATTCCGTTAATGATTTCTGTTTATTAATAGTGAAAAGACTAAAATGCCCTTAAAAATTTGAATTTTAGTTTTTTATAAATTTAAAAATTTCTAAAAAACCCCCTAGGTTTACAAATTTAACTATATAACCCAATATATAAAATTTTTATAAAATAACAAAAACACCCCCGCCACCTGCAGTGCCAGTTCCGGCCACCACCGTCGGGATCTGGCCGGAAAGCTGCATCACGACACAGACCATTTGGATCTGTGTCGTAACGCGGCAATCTGGCTTTTTCCGGCCAGATCCGTGGCTGATCTGGCCGGAAAAGGCCAGATCTACGGCTAGATCTGGCCGTCGACGCTGCAAAACTCCATCTGCGGCGTCGACGGCTAGATCTGGCCGTAGATCTGGCCTTTTCCGGCCAGATCAGCCACAGATCTGGCCAGAAAAGAAAATATCGGCACGTTACGACACAGATCCGACGGGTCTGTGTCGTAACGCAACTTTCCGGCCAGATTCCGGCGGTGGTGGCCGGAATCTGACACTGCAGGTGGCGGGGGTGTTTTTGTTATTTTACAAAAATTTTATATATTGGGGTATTTAGTTAAATTTGTAAACCTAGGGGGTTTTCTAGAAATTTTTAAATTTATAAAAAACTAAAATTCAAACTTCTAGGGACATTTTAGTCTTTTCACTATTAATAAACAGAAATCATTAACAGAATATGACGGAAGGTACCTATTTGTCGTTTCAAAACCTTTTAGGTATCAACTTGTCGTTATGACAAACCTTGGGTATGCACAAGTCGCTCGGCCTAAAGTTAATACCAAAAAGAATTTGCATCGTTTTACCTAACATATTTAAAAACTTCTCTCAAATTCGAAAAAAGAAAAAAGTAAAAACATAAAGAAACCATCTCCTGGTTGATCGGCCGCCGGCTGCGATTAGGGACAAAGCCACGTGGCTTGCCCACATCTGACCTCGGCCGCACAACCGCAATCATCTTTATTTCTCATTTGGACAGTATGCCATTAAATTTCCTTTAAGTTTCACTTTTCACACTAACATTGTTTTTTGGAATAATTTGTAAAGAAAACAAGCATTTAATTTAATATACATATATAGAGTTACCGTTTAATTAAATGTCATAATTGGAAATTCTAAATTGCAGCATTTTTCTTAAGATAAAAGCCATTTTCCATTAGAAAGCATACCAAAACCTCACGACACGGCAGATTATTAACAAACAAGAAACAACATGAAGCATGCTGATAAGTGATAAGCATTAAGCTTTCTAGAAAGCAAAAACAATCCAGCCTAGAAGTCATCGGGATCATAACCAAGATCTTCTTCGACTTTCTCAGCGGCTTCATCAGCAATGTGGTCCTCCAGCGCATCAACACCCTCAGCCAACGCTAGTCCACCAAGGACTCCAGCCACCGCACCCACAGCCAATCCTGTCCCCATCCCACCAAACTTACTCTTCTTCTTCTCCTCTTGTTCACCATAATACCCTCCATTTCCCTGTCCGTACGGTGCCGGTGGTGCATTGTACGCATTGAAGGGATATCCACTTTGTGGTGGAGCCCTTGAATAGTACGGATCGTGCGGTGGAGCGTATGGGTTACCGTAGGGTGGCGGCGCATGATAGTCTCTGGAACCTTGAGGTGGAATACCATAAGGAGGTGCGTAATACGCACTAGGCGGAGCATAACGGGGTTCTAAGATGGTAACCTTAACTTCAACTTTTCCTTGAGGCCTACCGGAAGGTCGCTTGAGGGTTAATGTATGCTTGACACATTCACCGGTGCCAACGTCATCGGGAACATCTCTCAGCTTGAGCCGAGCCGATCCGATCAACTTTTTGGTCCCCTCTTCATTGCCAGCGTGAACTACGTCGACGTATAGAGTGTAGTCTTTGTCGAGGGTTCCCGGCAAAGGGATGACAAGTCTCTTGTCCCAGAAAGGGCACGTGTCGCCCTCCTCATCAACCTTGGTAGAGCACTTGTTTTTAGGGTCAACCCAAACGACAGCGTATGGCCTGGTCGGGCCATAACGCCAGTTGACGTTCTTGAGGTCCTTGGCTGAGGAAACAGTGACTTCAACTTCATAGCGAGAAGCCATAATGGAAATGTTGTTAAAGAAAGAAATGGGAGTTGTGTACATTAGTGCGTCTGGTTGCTTAGCATTTATAAGATGGAAGGGAAGAAGAAAGCAAAGTTAGGGAGTAAGCAGTGTTTGACTGACAGATGGCAAATTTTAATCGGAAGGATAAGTGTTTAAGACAACGGAGTAGGTTTAAGTGAGTTTGGACAGGCAGTTAGCTGTTCTTATTGTGTTGATGCCATGAAAATGTAACTGAGGAAGTGCGTAGTTGGTACAGGTTTTTATTTGGAAGTCATAATAAATGTGTACAAGCATCCAAATATGTGCCAAAATAAATTAGCTTCTATTTAAGGATAAATATTAATTTTTATCTTACCATTTAAAGATTTTTAATTTTTTTTTCTTCTCAAAACATGTATCGTCATGGCATGAGTCAAATGAACCCTTTAAAAATTCAACTTCAATGTTACCTAAAATAATATATAATCTAATGCATTTTCTTTTCAGTTAATCGTATAATATGAAAAAGAATATGTTAGGTTAAAGCCTTATTTTAGATTTAAAAAAAAAAAAAAGTGTGTGACTGTATGTATTTTTGTATCTAAAGATTGGATTGAATCATAGACGTTGTAAATTAATATTATAATAAAACTCTATCGAATAAATACATGTGTTATAATTCTTTTTTATAAAAGAAATAATAATTTGAGGATTATAAATTCAATAAATGAAATACATTTATAAAAGAGATAAAAATTGTTTATCCTGTCTTTTTATATAATTTGGAAAGACCGCGTTACGAAAAGTCGAAGGCTAATTATAAAAAAAAAAAAAAAAATGACTCTTTGCTTATGCGGAGGTTTCGAGAACTCTCTGTTAAAAATTATGATTTTAGTGAAATTAAAGGTGGTAGGAGGAGGAGGAACCGTGATAAGGTTAAAATATAATATTTCATTTTTAATGTAAGAATAAATAAATAAATTAACCTATGAGGTTTAGTGAATGAACAAAAGACTCACAGGTTTCATAATGAAATATTTATATTCTTATAATTAACAAATATTTTGTTTGAAGTTATTTAAACACAAAATCTCGGTATAATAACTAATATAATTTTATTTTATCTTTTCTCCTACAATAAAAAGAAATTAATATCTGACATTTGCTTTTCACGGACATCATTCCATTACAAGTGTATAAGCGTTCTATTTTGAAACCCGTGCGTGATTTTTGTTCTTTCACTAAGCCCAAGAGCTGTCCATCAAAATACATGGAGAACAAGTTGTTCGGTTCACCCAAATGACGGGTATGGGCCTTGCCACCAGTTGACATTCTGCAGGCTGTTGTCCAGAACTAGACCTGACAACCGGGTGGACCGGATAATTATGAGTAACGGGTAAAACAAGCACGGATTTACGGATAAAATTTTTTCATAGGTAATACTACTCTTAGTATTCTCAAAAAAGTTAAACAGTAAAATACTCAAAAACTTTCATTTTTAGGAATACTATTTTCAATATTATTCAATTTTTTTTAAACTCTCTAAATTTGTTAATTTAATTAAATACCCCTAAATATTTTTTTTAAAATTACAAAAACACTCCAACAATTCACATTTACCATATTCCGGCTACCACCGTCGGGAAATGGCCAAAATCTGGTAGGATGGCGCACTACCGGCTGAATCTGGTCGGTAGTGCGCCGGAAAAGGCCAGATCTAAGGCCAAAGATCTGGCCGTAACACTCGGTCACGACGGCCAACAAACGGTCGTCGTTGACCATCAACGACGACCGTTTGTTGGCCGTTATTGAGAGCAAATACGACCATATCTGGCCATTGACGGCTAGATCTGACTGTAGATATGGCCTTTTCCGATCAGATCCACCATGGATCTGGTCGAAAAAGGTCATATCGGCTCATGACCAGCAAGATCCAACCGGTCATGCGCCCATAAGGCGACTCCGGCCACCTCCGGTGGTGGTGGCCGGCTGGGGGTAGGTTAAGGGTGTTTTTGTTAACTTTTAATGTTTTATTATAGGGGGTATTTTGTAAAAAAACAAACATAAGGGGCATTTTATACTTTATAAATTCTACATCGTAATACCTGCCCAATTCAACTTTTTTTTAATTTTTTTTAAAAAACTTTTCTCAAAATTTCTAAATTTTGAACCAAACGAAGCCGTATGATTAATACCCGTTCATACAGATACGGGTCAACCCGCGAGCCATCTAAAAAAAAATTTGGAGTTTTTTCATTTAGTTTAGTGGGGTTTACCATTACCAACGGCATCTTGAGCCCCTAAATTCTTCTTTTTCATTCCATTTTTTATTCTACCACCAAAACGGAGGAGACACGCAAAAGCATAAAAGATTTTAAAGAAAAAATTGTCAAACAAGTCTCCTATTTTTCCCATGTCTGGCCTCAACACTTCAATAACTATGGCTTTGACCCTCAAATCGATTACTTTTAGGTCTCATTTACTTGTTGTCTTGGTCTTTGTCTTTTTCTTATTTGTTGCACAAGCTTTGTAGTGTAGTGTTATTGACTCATTTGTTGAAAACAAGGTACTAGAAGAAGCGAGGAAGCAGAAGAAAGAGTCATCAAGATCCGTAGACAAGAGTCATCAAGATACGTAGACTGGTTGCACTTCAAGCTTTAGAGACCCATTTCAAAAGATGAGTCCAAAGGTCAAGAAGACCCTCCACAACAACGTTGGTGGAGACATGTTGCGTGACAGCGTGAGGTTGCTGCAGACTGCAACCTGCAGTTCTGCAAAGGTGAGAGAGTGAGAGTTGAGTGAGTGAGTTTTTTACTTTTTAAATTTTCTATTTTTCAGCTTTTTTTTTTTTAAATAAGTGCGGGTACCTGCGGGCACCCGCTGGTATTGTCCGATCCATCTGATTTTTCACGGGCAGGTTGGATACGGGTAATTAATAGTGTTACCCACGGGTACAGGCAACACTTTGCCAGGTCTATCCAGAACATTAGAAATAAGCATTTTCTTGCCATGCCCAAGCTTCTGTTAATTAAAACCTGAGTAAACGACTTTTTTTTTTCACCTAAATAATGGCTTAATGACATTTTTCCACTTACATATTTTTAAAATACTATTTTACTATCCAAATTTATATTTTATTTCTGATTCCAGCATTGTTGTGTTTCAAACCACTACCATTCTCTTCCTCAATCATCACTCATCAAAACCTCTCAAACCCTACTCCTGCCGACCCTGCCAATCACCGGCAATCGAGCAATTAGAATTTACGCAGTCACCTCTTCCAAGTCAAATTTTGATCAATCTCAACCATCAAAATCTAACATTCTACTACCAAAAGACTCATCGACTTTCCCCTTTCAAAAACCCTAACAGCTTAGACCGAGTTTGCTCTTTATTCGCTGTCGGAATAAAAATTTAAGTAGTAAAATGATATTTTAAGAGTCTATAGGTGGAAAAGTGTCATTAAATCATTATTTGGGTGGGAAAAAGTCGTTAACTCATTAAAACCCTCAAGTTTCAGAAACTAATACCAATACCCCTAAGGCCTAAACCATCCAAGAAATACCATACCATAGATCAAAAGTAACATAAAGGGTTATTTTTCAACCTTTTTTGTCATAAATACAGATTCTATTTTAGGAAGTTATTTAAAATCTAAATTCACATTTGATGATATTGATAAATTGTTTATTGACATCACTTAGTAAGATTTGTCTTCTAAAAATGTAAACTTTTGCAATATATATATAAATTAAAATATTAATTCAAACCTTATAAAATTTTAAAACTCAACCACTCAAATCAAAGTCCCAAACTCAACTCAAATTAAAGAACAAAGTTGGGAGTGTTAGTAGAATAACAAATAGAGACTTATCGGTATACTCACTTGGGGCAACCTCCTTTGTTGTCAAAGCTCATCCTAGGTGAGCCTCTATTGCTATACTTAACGGTATCTAAGTCCATGATAAGCGCAACTTTGGTATGCGAAGAAGGGCGAGTATAGTGACCAATGTACTATGTGAGCAAGCAGTTTCTCGGTGCCGAGATAAGGTATCCCGCGATGGAGAAGCTCGTTTATGCACTCATCATAGCTGCTCGGAAGTTGCGACTCCATTTTCAGGCACACTCCATACATGCCCTGTCAAATTTTCCACTAAAAAAGATAATGCAGAAGCCCGAGGCATTGGGTAGGTTAATTAAGTGGACTATGGAAATGAGTCAGCACGACATCAAGTATATCCCAAGAACCACAATCAAGGGACATTCTTTGGCTGTTTTCATCTCATAATTCTCTTACCAGCCTGGGAGGCAAATAAGCCTGCCAAAAGCGAGTACCTCGGAAGAAAACAAGCCAACAAAGCCAAAGCTCGATAATCTATGGCAGTGGACCCTGTATATGGATGGGTCCTTGAATGAGAAGGGGGCGGGAGCCGGGCTCCTGCTCGAAAGTTCTAAAGGCAAAAGAGGACATAATGGTGTCCTATATCTGGAAGGTAAAATCCGAACTTGAGCAATTCAAGACTTATGCAGTTCTACAGATTCCAAGGGAGAAGAATTCAGTGGTCGATGCTCTAGCTCATCTAGCTTCATCAATGAGCAAAGAAGCAACTAATTCCATTCCTGTTAAGTTTCTCCTAAGTCCAAGCATCCTCGCATCGCAAGAATCAGTTTTGGTGATAAGGCAAAGATACAACTGGATAGATTTAATAACCGCGTACCTGAGAAATGGGACAGTACCCGAGGGAAGAAACGAGGCCAAAACCCTTCGAGCAAAATTAGCTCGGTATACATTTATCAACAACAGGCTGTATAAGCGAGGCTTTAATTCCTTTCTCTTTTGATGTTTTGATCACGAAGATGCGGAGTATATCCTAAAGGAAATCCACGAAGGTATTTGTGGGAATCACGTCGGAGGCAGATCTTTGGCATACAAAGTACTTCGCCAGGGATACTATTAGCCGACAATCTTTGACGATGCCACCGACTTCGTTCGCAAGTGCGACAAATGTCAGAGGTTCACATATATTCAACGAGCTCCACCTCAAGAGCTGATCACTTTGACAAGTCCACGACCATTCACGATCCGAGGGATTGA